TATTACGATTGGTCATGTGGTTTGGCCACCATTTTGGATTTCTTCTATACAGGAAGTAGTTTTTTTACTCATGCCACACTTGAGGGATTATTTTCATTATTGCTGTATGGCATCTATATATCAATCTCTTTCAGAAACCTCAAAAAGATTTCAGATTAGTCACATGGTTTGGCCGCCATCTTGGATTTTAAGCAAAATTGACCAAAAGTTTGGGCATTTGTTTCTCAGAGGTGATTCAACCAATCTACTAGATGTTTTAATATTTACCATGCCTAGCCTTAGCTCCATATGAGAAAAATAATATTATTTTGATCAGTCACATGGTTTGGCCGCCATCTTGGATTTTATGAAAACAAATCTTGTGCAATTACATGTGTTGTATTGGTCGAATTTGGCTAAAATTGTATATGTGCATTCTACTCTTGAGATGCATTCTTTCAACCGAATGGCACGTGGCTGGGTTTTGTCGCTGGGCGCCTAAGGGGTGGGGGCTTCTAACCTCATTAATATGCATAACTGATATATCTCATTATGACAACAGTGAACAAGAGATTTGATTAAAATAACAGATGACCATATATGGTCATGTGAACTCATTAATATGCAAAGCAGTTATATCTAAAACACTGTCGCAGAGCAGGACATGTAACTAGTGTCATTATGAAGACATTGAATGAAAGATGTAACTGACATTAGAAATGGCTATATATGATTATGTGATCTCATTATTGTGCATAAGAACATGACTCATTATATACTGTAAAATGACTAATTTTCACTGGGTTTAAATTTCACTGATTTACCATTTCAGGCATAATCAGTGGGTTTTAAATTCACGGTTTCGTCATTTAGATAATGTGTTCTATGTTAAATTTTACATATTCACTGTGTTTTAATTTAGCGCATTTTTCCAGTCAGCGAAATAAGCTAAATTAAAACCCAGTGAATAATTACCCCCTTTACAGTATCCTGAAAACCATATTTCGATAACCAAACCAGGTAAATACATGGTACCAACTTCATTTTGACCTCATGTTACTGATAATTCAAGCTACCTGATTTTCTAACATGTGACCACATTAATTATGAAACAGAATCTTGTCAGCTTGGGCCCGGGTGACGCTTGCGGCTTTAATTTTTCTCTTCTTTTCTTTATTCAAATGTCTGTGAATGTCTTGTGTTTTTTGTTTGTTTTGTTTGTTTGATATCTTTTTGTATTACCTTATTGTATTTTCAACTAAGATCCCATTCTGGGATATGGTTTCAATAAATATTATTATTATTATTATTACATTTTGACAGTACATGTATAAATCCTATGCTGGATCAGAATATTTTGTGCATTTCAAAAATTGAAAGATATATCAGCTGACATGCTTCTTGTTTAATCATAAATTGTTAGCTCCGCTGTTGACTTTGTCGAGCGGAGCTTATCATATGAGTGATTGTCCGTCGGCGTCCGTGTCAATGTTTTACTTTTTCGACTTCTTCTTGAAAACTACAAGCCTGAATGCTTTGATACTTGGTGTGTATGTACTTGGGGTACACCTCTCTTAGATTTGTTCATTTCATGATGATATCTTAAATTCTCTAATTTTGGTGAATATTTTTGTCATTTTTGGTAAAAAGTGATATTTTTGACTTCTTGTTAAAAACAGCAAGTCCGATTGCTATACATACTATACATATTGTTCATTTTCTAATGATATCTATAGTTCTTCAATTGAAATGTGCTATCTCAGCCGAGAAGCTGCTTGTTGTTTATCTTATTCGTAAATGGATGGGTGTCATGGTTACGAGTTACAGTGATTGTATACACTAGCATCTTCAAAAGCCACTTTACTTATTCAGTTGAATAAATGCATCATATATTAGATGCATCAATGTAATTCTTTGTGCATTTTGGGGACAATAATATATTTTGTTGTTGTTATTCCAATAATTATTGCAGTCTCAGTGACAGTTTTCTTGTGTACATATGTTTATTTGTTTGTTTATTATCATTTTAGTTTCCACAACAAGCATCATGAATGTGAAGTGACTGAACCTGTACAGAGTACAGTACACCCACCTCAACCTCCACCTCCACCTCAGTCTACAGATATGTCAACTGTCATTGTTACCATACCAACACAGGAAGACATGTAAGTGTTGACCAAACAATGTCAGAGTGCTTTCGTTGCATAGATTATCGTTGAACAATATAGCCTTTATTAGAATAAGAAGACCTTTTATTGTTCTCTTGAAAGTTTGAACACGGTAAAATCACTGTTCTCAAAGATGCCTGGAGAAAACACTTGTTTGTTTTTTTCATTTATAGAATAACTGATAGTTCATTAAGAACCAGATTACAAGTGGCCAATGAGAATGTTCTTCATCAGCATTATCAGCTAAGAGGAATGATGCCAGATGCAGATACGTATCTGAATATGTCTAAAGTTTATGCTGTAGATGGTGCAATAAGTGAGGTCAATATTGATAATGAAAGATCTCGAATTGTCAAAGACATTGCTCTTCTGCAACAGCTAGACCAACTTCTTGTTTATGAAAAAAGCAGACGAAGTTACGACAAAATGTTAAACACAGGAAAAGAAAAAGATGCTGTCAAGGATGACAGCCAAGTGGAGTGTGAAGAAAAATGTTTGGAAGAGACTCCGACTCTAACTCTTGGAAAGGTCATCAAGACTGAAAACATTGATGATATGTAATATTATTGGTTGATGGATTGTTTGGTTCACCAATAGAGGGCACCATTTGAGGATCCCCAATAATTATTCAAATGAAAAGAAAATGAATATTTGAATAACTTCTCCCTCTTGTTTTTACATGCATGATCTTTGTGAGAGTAACTTGGCTCTCGTTTTAACGACCAAGATCTCTGTGACCTTGCTGACATGTGTAGAATATCTGTCAGTTAGGAAACGCTAGCTGTTGATGTGAAAGACATTATTAAGGTGTTAATATAAATAAAGCACTGATATTTGAATAAAAATGTAAATATTAAAGCCAACTCGTGTCTGATATGTGTGTCAAGTATACCATAAGCCTGGTAGCATAAAAGCACCCGAGTTACAGCTGTTCCACAGTTATATGTGATGGCTGTCTGTCATGTTGCCTAACTATAAATATGTGATGACTGTCTGTCATGTTGCCTAACTATAAATATGTGATGACTGTCTGTCATGTTGCCTAACTATAAATATGTGATGGCTGTCTGTCATGTTGCCTAACTATAAATATGTGATAACTGTCTGTCATGTTGCCTAACTATAAATATGTGATGGCTGTCTGTCATGTTGCCTAACTATAAATATGTGATGGCTGTCTGCGAAGTTGCCTAACTATAAATATGTGATGACTGTCTGCGAAGTAGACTGTCGACAGTCCCTCTGGCCTTACGTGTGTGTGTTTTTGTTTTTTTATTATTAATATTAATCAAACGCCGTAGGCGTTTGCGAAATGCCGAAGGCATTTCAAGTGAGGGCCGTAAGGCCCGAGAGACTGTTATAGCCTGCTGCGCCACCACTCGCCACTGTAGAGAAATTCTCCTGTAGCGTACCATCATGATTGACAGGCAGAGTGATGTCATAAAAATGCTAACCAACCACAAGTCACGCAGTCCCAGGTCAACAGGAAGTAAAAAAAATTGAGCCACCAGACGACGCAATAGTTTATAAACTTCGTTCAGTGCACTGCTTTGAAGATGGCTTGTGACGATGCAGTTTCGCTGGCGTTGAAGAAACTTGGGTATGAAAGTATTCGACCAATCCAGCGACAAGTCATTGGATCGGGGGGGGGGGGGAAATGCACAATTTACTCACTACTTTCGTCGGAGTTTTACTGGGCAAAATGTTGTCGTACATCATGAGACACCAACGCACTCTTCCTTTGTTTAAAATTAGATAACTCGCGTTCGCAACTTGTAGTTCTGGATAATACTTGGCAGAAAACGATCTATACTCGGCGAGACGATCAAAGTCATGCGTGACATAAAAAAACCCCGCGATTTGACCTTTGCATAACAGTTTAACTCCGCCCATATGCAAATTATTACTACGTCATCGAGATGCATGCATAATTAATAGCAAGGCCAGTCCTGCAGGCTATAACAGTCTCTCGGGCCTTACGGCCCTCGCTTGAAATGCCTTCGGCATTTGATTAATATTAATAAAAATAACACACACACGTAAGGCCAGAGGGACTGTCGACAGTCTATCTGCGAAGTTGCCTAACTATAAATATGTGATGGCTGTCTGTCATGTTGCCTAACTATAAATATGTGATGGCTGTCTGTAATGTTGCTAAATTATAAATGTGATGGCTGTCTGCCAAGTTGCCTAACTATAAATATGTGATGGCTGTCTGTCATGTTGCTAAATTATAAATATGTGATGGTTGTCTGTCATGTTGCCTAACTATAAATATGTGATGGCTGTCTGTCATGTTGCCTAACTATAAATATGTGATGGCTGTCTGCCAAGTTGCCTAACTATAAATATGTGATGGCTGTCTGTCATGTTGCCTAACTTTAAATATGTGATGGCTGTCTGCCAAGTTGCCTAACTATAAATATGTGATGGCTGTCTGTCATGTTGCCTAACTTTAAATATGTGATGGCTGTCTGTCATGTTGCCTAACTATAAATATGTGATGGCTGTCTGCAAAGTTGCCTAACTATAAATATGTGATGGCTGTCTGCGAAGTTGCCTAACTATAAATATGTGATGACTGTCTGCGAAGTTGCCTAACTTTAAATATGTGATGGCTGTCTGTCATGTTGCCTAACTAATAAATATGTGATGGCTGTCTGTCATGTTGCCTAACTATAAATATGTGATGGCTGTCTGCGAAGTTGCCTAACTATAAATATGTG